GGTAACTGCTACCAAGTACAATGTACTACAGGTGTTACTGTTACTGATACAAATTACCTCCAGTCAGTAGTCTTACCTGGAGGCAGCAGTTCTAACCTGATTTACAATGATCTCTATTTGATTGTTTGTCTACGTATGCTCCTCCTCTTATCAGGAGATGTTGAACTCAATCCTGGTCCTATGATTGATGATCGACCTGATATTTCATTATTAACTCAATGGCTTGAACCACTTGTTGACTGGAAAACATTTGGTCTTAACTTACGAGAAATTACTTATTCAGATATTTCAAAACTTCAAGCAGAAAATGCAACAATAGATGAATGAAAGTTAGCATTATACTCAAAATGGCTGTACACAGCACCTAAAGCAACATGGGCTGATGTGATTAATGCACTGAAGAAAGCAAGAGAGAACAAACTTGTTGGAGACATTAGAAGAAATTTGCAAAAATGTGTGCCAAGGTCAGCTAGAAGTTATAGTGCTGTCACAACCAGACCACAATCACAGGCAGAAGTAATGTTTGAAACAGCAGAAGATGAAAAGAAGATATTAGATACACTAATTGGTCTCAATAAAGAATTCTCTAGTTTAATGATGCATGTACGTTCAGGCCTTCAAATGAAAATTAAAAATGATCCTGAGCAGTTAGCTAATCTTACCATATGGTTGGAGACTTACATGCATTGGAATGATAAACTAACAAATGCATCATTAGATGAAACTTTTAAAATTATTCATCCATACTATGATTTTATTGATTGCAGTCTGATTGTGGACATGAGCGAAGTCTTTTTACAAGATGATTTCAAATTCGGTGTCAGCAAGTTAAGTATTGTTAGTGAATTAATAAAATATCAAGAAAAAGCTGATAATCTTTGTTTTTCAGCTCAAGTAAAACATCTTAACAAAGCACTAAAAATGATATATGAAGAGCATGTACCATCAGATATATCAAAAATGCCAATGATTTCAATGAAGTTTCATAATCAATGGCATGGTAGCAAAATTAGTGGACTCTCTCTACTGATCCACAACTTACTTCCAGTTGGACACCGGCAGTCAATAATGAAATACATTACAATATTATCTGGTTGCATCATCATCAAATATTCTGTATATGGTTCTAGAGCTGATAGTCTAGTAGAATATACTGGAGGAAAGTTACAGTTTATGCGTCTCATTGGTATATTTAGTTTATACATTAATGATCATCCTGTCCTTCAAGAAGATGAGAATATGAACTTCACCTTTGAACTAGCTCTCTTTAAGGCAGTCACAGCTGGTAATAATGAAGCAGTAGAGTTTCTTCTTCAACTAGAAACTGTTAATATTGATCATACTAATGAAGAAGGCAAGACAGCACTAATGTTAGCTTGTGAAAGAGGACATGAGGACATTGTACACAGTTTACTGTCTGCTGGAGCTAATGTTAACATTCAGGACAATAAAGGATGGACTGCACTAATGATAGCAAGTAGACATATTCACACTTCTATCATTCACATGTTACTACAAGCTAATGCTAATCCTCACCTGAAGACATCATCAGCTGGATCAAATGTTTTAATGATTGCTAGTTACTATGGTAACTATGAGGTTGTTGAGCTATTAATTAGTAAAGGAGTTGATTATAAATATCAACGAAAAGATCATGGAGCAAATGCTTTTATGTTGGCTTGTCTAAATGGCCACACTCAAACAGTTGAACTGTTGCTGAAGGAACAAGTTGATCCTAATGTTCAAGAGAAAGATGGTTGGAATGCTTTTATGCTGGCTTGTCAAAATGGTCACACTCAAATAGTTGAACTGTTGCTGAAGGAACAAGTTGATCCTAATGTTCAAAAGAAAGATGGTTGGAATGCTTTTATGCTGGCTTGTCAAAATGGTCACACTCAAATAGTTGAACTGTTGCTGAAGGAACAAGTTGATCCTAATGTTCAAGAGAAAGATGGTTGGAATGCTTTTATGCTGGCTTGTAAAAATGGTCACACTCAAATAGTTGAACTGTTGCTGAAGGAACAAGTTGATCCTAATGTTCAAAACAATAATGGAACAAATGCTTTTATGCTGGCTTGTAAAAATGGTCACACTCAAACAGTTGAACTGTTGCTGAAAGAACAAGTTAATCCTAATGTTCAAGACAGAAAGGGTCATACAGCTTTAATAATTGCCAGTGCTCATGGA